AAAAGTGAGATTAGTTAAATTAAGAATAAACAGAATTAATAATAAGTGCGTACTTGTCTTGTATGACAGTTTAAGCTAGGTACTCTTAAATATTTTATCCAGTAAGTATACCTAAGAGCACTTTACTTCACAAGAAATACTCCGGCAGAAATAAGATAGTAAGAACTTACGTTCTATAATAATACCTCGGTAGCAATACCCTTATATTGTTGATTTATTTATTTCGTTTTTTAAATACATTTCTTATTGAGGTTCTTTTTTGCAAACGTTCCATTAATGTTACGTGTTCGAAACCCGAGGGAATTGCAAGAGCGCTTGTGTTATGTTCCCCGGACGTCTTGTTATTGTCGGGTTTCCGCATTGGAACTGGAAATAACGTTGTAAACATGATGATGAAATATATTTCTAAAACTAAATGAACTTACTGTGATTAATTACTTCACTTAAGACTGTGATGTATTTAAGCTAAATATAAATGCAGTGTGTAGAACTAAACGAGATAGCCTGTACCTAGACTATAACCCCGCCGCAGCAAACCTGCAGACTAAAAGCGAACTTGCATATCTGTAGCCCTGTTCCAAATGCCAAATGCCCGATTGGATTTTCCCTTAAATTGATTTAACATTAGGTTGAACGAGTTTGCTGAGACCTAGGTTTGCTGCTTCGGGAAGGGCAATAAGTGTGTTTTAGTAAAATATCAATATCTTAGTATAAAGTAAATAAATTTTCCAAGTTTGTTTGAAGTTTTATCAACATATACCCATAAACAAGCCAACTAAAAGAGCTCCATAAAAATAACATGGGAATTGTTTGACAATATTTTATTAACAATATTGTCAACCCTCAGAGCTGCTGTTAATTAATTACTGGTTCCTGTCGTATAAACCGATCCTTCCAAAAAAGCCAAATTTAAATGACAGCTTGTTGTAAACTATAGAATGTTAATTTGGTGTCACAAAAATAGTTAACATTTTGAAAACTAAGATAAGAAATTTAATTTTATAATGTATCAAGCCAATGAGATTAAAACATGTTTTTAAATTAAATAATTATTGCATATAGATGGGCTAACTACTTCAATATACCAAAATCAAAATAGTACGACATTAACTGATAAATTTTATCAGTCATTGATTATAACGAACGAAGGCAACGAAGGCGTACAAGGTGAGACAATGACCAGACGCGGAACTCCTTAACAGTCTTGAAAGGCCGCGCCTGACTGCGACTGCGTGGTCGTGCTAGCGCGGGAAACGAGACTTGCCTCGCGCAGTGCGCAGTGACGTCATCACCAGCTGTTCGCATGCGCGGTGGTCTTCTCATTCTCACAGAATCAGCTGTTCCAAGGAAAACGCTAGAGCTGCTGCTGCCTCGTGGTCTTCTTGTAAAGTAAAGCCCAACCAAATTTTCGTGGTTACTACTTGTAAATTGTCAGTGGGTTGGGTTTATACAATTATAACTGATGCTGTTTAGTTAGATTATTATGTCATTCAAATAAGGTTTAGCTTGGATGTGATTCAATACATTAAATATTTAGTTTTATGTGCTGTGTTACACTCTTTAAATAATCTGATTATATGGACAATGAGAGAAGTAAGAAGAAATTTTGTATTAGGGAACATATTATAAACCAAACAGTTTTTTTTTTTTACTTTTTATTAGCGAATTTCCCATATAGGGAATAAGCTATTACCGTAGTACTCATGGTAAGACCTAAACCCGGGACTGACTTACTTTTTTATTTTGAGGTCCTTAGAGGGACATCATATTTGAACTAATTCATATACCGTATATATGTCCGTTAGCACGATAGCTCGAACAAATATGATCTGATTTTGATGAAATTTGGTATAAGGGTGTTAACCTACATTTATTACAAAGATATGGGAATGGGTTTTTATAGGGTGAAAATTGAATTTTCCCATTTTTTACCAAAAAAACAAACACAATATTGAAATTTATTTCCAAACTATTTTGAAGAGCTTAAAAACAGTGGCGTCATTTCACCAAATCCTTGGGGAGGGGGCAAACACCGGGGGGAATACCCCCAGCAAACAAGGGGGGTCCCCCGGAAAATTTTGCAGTTTTGAAGCAAAAAAAGAGGGGTTTGGGCTTATTTTAATTGTCAAAAACACTTCAAATAAAAAAAATATGAGTAAAATTTATTTAAATTTAGGCAGAAAATTAATGAAACTAAGAATTATTGACAACAGACAGAAACACAATAATTTTATGTTGGTAAGTTAGTCATCTAAGAAACCTGATAAATAGTTAGATGTATTAATATTATGTTTGTAATTAGATTCATGACCAATTTCTCTTGTACAACATTTAGCAATGAGTGTGGTTGTTTATAGCCATTACTTCTCTGTGCCTATAGTTTATAACAGTTTATTTTGTTTTTTAAATAAAATACAAGAATTTGAGAACTTAAAAGCAAATCAAATTTTATCGCCAATAAAAAAATTCGACATTTTAAAAGTACAAATGGTTCAACTAATTTAACTATATTAAATTGGTACCGTAGTCTATAATGTTAAAAAAAAATACTTAAAATTTATACACATGTACCTATGATTTTAATGCTTAGGCTAAATAATTCATAAAAGTAAATGACAAAGCAATGCTTCTAAAATATCTGAATTTTTATTTATACTGTATATATAAACTAGAAGTAAGTAGTGGTTTATCGTACAGCACCAAACAGAAAAAGTAAATGAATAACAAAACTACTAATTTATGTAAACTCAAAATGTGCTATCTAAGACAATAAAACAATAATAATCTTTGTTTCAAATTACTGTACAAGAATATACAGATTTTTGTCTGCTGTACTTTTATGACAGGAGAAAATATTTGTTTATTGGCTAGTACAGCATATTTTTTTTCTCTAGCCCAGGATCCAGGGGCGGCAAATGCCCCCCCTGCCCCCCCCCCAAATGACGCCCCTGCTTAAAAAACAAAGAATTTAGTATATTGAAGCGTTTTTATGCGCCTAATGGTTACGGAGAAAATTCCAAAAAATAGTAAATTTAAAATTTCTATGTTATTCTTATGGAGAATAAGTAAACTGTTAAAACACTTTTTTACTCCCCTACCCCTGTTTTAGAAAACCTAAGTACTCGGTATACTAATGCTATTTAAATAGGGAATAAATGGGAAATTTTTAAGGAGAAATTTTAGTCTAAATCCAATCAGGAAAATGGAAATTATCGCTTAGTCTGCATATTACTCAACTTCTTCCAACTGATACTAATCCTATCCATGTTTCTTTCATCACTTGCTTCTCACGAGGATTCTCACAACCATTAGAAAGTAACAAGAGCAGAGTTTGGATTGTTTCCCTTCAAAAATTAAAAATGAATCTGACTTATATAAGTTTCTAAACTTAGGTGTTTTTTTGGATAGGATACTATTTTATTATATAAAAGTAAAATGTGGAATATTAATTTTGTACAATATACTACTAGAGAACCGTGCGGCTCAATGAGCCGCATAGTATGAAACATAACGCCGAAGAAAACGTTATGCTTACATTCGAGTAATTCTAGTTACATCTTAGAGTTGTTTTAGACTAAGGGAGTATGTTTTATCTAGCCTATGATAATATTCAACTCACCAAGTGAATGTGTATCTGGATGGGTATCTGTGAGACCGGTTGGATAGACCACACCTCTCATTTTCTACTCTCCTCATACGCATAAGATATCTTATTATTAATTGTCTCCTCCTCCTGTTTTCAATATTTCTTCTTTGAACTTGAGGCATTTTCTGTTCTTCCAACAAAACTGATTAACTGTATAACTTGTTCTTACCCTACTGAATATTACAAACATAAATATTTACTCCCAAAAATCTAATGAGTTTCTTTTTATAAACAGCTGTTTTTTTTTAATTTTTTCTATGTATTTCTTATGGGGAAAACCCGACCTTTGATAGGATGGTTCGAGTGAAGTTTGGTGCAGATCCGTCAAAAGGGCTCTGCCCCAGAGAGTTTTAAGTGGGCCAATGTCAGACTTTTTGATCTACAATGTTTACAAATAAATATAATTTAAAAGCAGATGTTTACTTTCACCAACTGTTTTTAGGTTTGAATAATCACAACATTCTGTATTAGCATTAGTCATGATTTGAAATAGTGCCACAGTGTTTTTACAGAGTGCAGCACAGAAAACTATTTTACTTTTGAATAAGTCCAAATGTATTAAACCCCAATCGCAGCACACCTGTGCACTCAACAACGTTTAAATTCTCCAATGTTAAATATTAAAACATAAAAACCTTCATCAAAGTATTATAAACAATAAAAGGGATGACTTTTTTAAATTTATGACAACAGCTAATTTGCAACCAAAAGGTGAGTGAGCGTAGCGAACGAACATCAACCTGGAGGCAAGTTAGCATAGCGAACAAGCTAACCTGAAAACGAGTGAGCTTAGCAAACCAGCTCCAACCTAAAGGTGAGTGAGCGTAGCGAACGAACTTCAACCAGGACATGATTGAGCCATGCAAATACTTATGAAGTTAAACGGGGCAAAGCCCGCGGGTACAGCTAGTATATAGATAGATGCTTTGTGTATTTAATCATTTCAGATAATGAAGTAGCCATCCCATCTATAGGTACCAGCTGAATCATTTTTTTTTATTCAAATAGAACATTGATGAATGAGTCTCTTACAAAATGTTCTACTGTCAAAATTATATTTCCTTTAGTTTTTGTTGCAGTGATAGTTTATGTGACGGCGCCAACACAAAAGGGGTATTTTTTCAAAGGCGAAGATGAGTGAAGGACAAGTATGGATAAATGAGGGGATACCTTTCTCACTAAGATCAGCTGGTTCATTAGACGGGACCACTTAAAGGCTAATGATCTAGGACAGCTGAGTCTAGTTTCAAACTATCAAAAACCCTCTGACTTTTCTCAGGATGGAAACCCCACAGACCCATGAGGTTCTAACTATGCCTGTGTCGTTAAATATTAATATTCATTCATGTTACAGGTAGAGGAGGATGGACGTGCCCCAGGATGCGGCCATTACTGTCCGTGGGGCGTACAAGATGTACTCCGCCCCCAACCCTGTGCTCAGGGGGCTCAACATGACCGTACACCAGGGTTGCATGTACGTATGTTATTGTTAATTATGCTTTTATAACTATAAAAGTTACGCAAATCAGCCAAAATCATCATAATTATGATCCCAATAATTAAGGGTTGCTAGGTGTAGTTCAGAAACATCTAAAGGCTCTTCGGATTATCCTTATGGCAAACTGGGTATCTTCAAATTATTTAATGTAAATTATCAAGAAAATTCATTCTGTATAGAGTATATACCCAGCTTAGTTTTTCCCAATGGCTGTTTCCTGAGAATCTGAAGGTAAACTTATTAAGAAAAATTTCGCTTCCAGGATAAAAATTTGAATACATCTATCCTTAAATACAAACAAAAGTTAATAATGTTTCTTGGGTACTTCAGTATTAAACGGAGGCCACATTTTGTCAGCGCGCTGCGGCGGTTATGTTAGGTTGGGTTATCATAATAGAAAGTATCGTTCGATTCATAACGAAGCGAGGAAAGTCCTACACACATAATATTTACGATAACCCAACCTAACATAACCGCCGCAGCGCGCTGACAAAATGTGGCCTCCGTTTAATACTGAAGTACCGTTTCTTGTAAGGAGTTAAATAAAATCTCGAACATCAGATCAAAATTAAAATGTCTTGTACAAGTTTTCATCACTTTTATCACTTAAACACCTCACTAAAGCCCTGTTCCCATGGGGCGTGAGGCATCGGAGTGAGCCTCACATTGTGAAAATTCGCTCTGTGGGGGCAATGTGGAGTGAATTTCCAGTGATGTCACTCAGCGGGATTTTTATACACGAACGGCCATACTTCGGATGAAACAGGTTTAATATTTGGGCGTGAGCAGCTAATTTTTGCATTCCTGGCTGTTTTTTGGCGGTTTTTCTGTGCTGGTTTAAAGTGTTGTGGTAGTGTTGGTGGTGTTGTAGAACTTCAGGGTTGTGCTATGTCAGAGCCATGGAGTACGTGTGTGTAGTGAGGATTCACAACAATGAAACTTTGAAGTTCCTTGAATTATGCGTTGCAGAACGGTCACTGTATGGTGCAAGCTGCAAAGAATACAAATATCGTGACTCAACCTTTTAACTAATTGCCATAAATTCCACTAAAATGCTATTAAAATCTGAAAATCTGCACTGCACAACTCCCAAACACTCTGCCGTCGTTGACTTTCTGAGGTAGACTTAATCCAAAAGATAGACCATGAAGCGTGTTTCGTGTGAACAGTCCACACCTTAGAACAGGTGGTATTCCCATCCCCACCACAGGGCGAGGCTCAAGTAAGCGTGATGAAGAGCGAAAATTCACATCCCGTGGGAACCCGGATTAACTCATGCAGGAGAGACGGGCTCGGTTCCTGGCATATCCATATAACTTTAATGGATTTGGACCACTTTTCCTTAAAAGCATTTAAATTAATAAGAGAAGCACTTACTTTGTATACATATATTTTAAGTTGGATGTGAATGCATGATGAGTGCAAAATGTAGTGAAATGACTTGTGTAATTTTTTTCTGTTTAAAATCAGCTGTTAACTTTTTTCCAAAGATACACATGAATTTCAAAGGACATGGCCAGGGGTGCCCACAGGGGGGTTTGATGTCGCAAAATGCGACATCAGAATTTTATTTGGGGGGGATTTTATGATTTTGGGGGGGATTCAAGCCAGTGGTTGGTTAAAAGCACATAAAAGGTTAATCAGATAATTTTTACGACCTCTTGATTAATAAATCATTTTATAATTGCTATAAAATATGTAGATACTTTTATGTGGATTTCCACTTTCTGACTCGTATCATGATTGACAGTGAGAACAACTCCATGCCAACTGCTTTCAAAGGATTATGGTTGCTTATTAAATTGTATCTGCAATTTGAGTTTGTTTTTACCTTTCATTATGAACTCATTCTCAAATAGTCTCATTGCCTTGAGGACCTATTGATGGTTTTTTAGGTTTGTTTATTATAATATATCCTTGATTCATAAAAAAACCAGTATTATGATAATAACAATCATTTTGCTATTTTTACAACATGAACAACAACATGAAAGCTTGTGATAATATTTTGGCTCTCCCAAATAATTATGCCTGGGTCATTTATTCATTGGAAGAAATTGACATACAGTACTGTGACAATTTAATTAAGGTTTTTTGATAGGCTATATGTTTACGTTAACTTCAAGAACTGAAACACATGATTCTGGATTAATTAAATTTATTTGATTGTCTTTTCTTGAATCTAGAAAGAGCTTCAAACAAATTTTACTAGTCTTAGAATAGATATATAATTATTTTTTTACGCCACACTACACTATTTTGACGAACTTCCCATACAAGGATTTAGTCCAGAAAACAGCTGTTTTTCCTTAATCAAATTGGGTTTCATACAGTACTATTGTACTGTACTGTAATGAGTTTTGCCGGACACCAATCAGTTGATTATACTGTATTTGGGCGGCGATGAGCGAAACGGCACACGGAAGATTTCTCAGGTGCCGTTTGACGTCACTAACTGCTAGAAATCTTCCGTGTGCCCCACCGGGCAATGAGTGGTTATAACAAAAAACGTCATAACCTCTCGAGAGGTTATGACTAGTGATTTTTAGTCCTTTAGATGGTGGTAATATAGGGATTTGAACGGATTTAGTAGTATGGCGTAAACTATCGTACGTCCCTCGTCCAAAATGTGTTGGCCGGACTCGTATAAAAAAACCACAACTCGACTTCGTCTCGCACGGGATTCAGGACTAGTAACGTAATATACTATTTTACCACACTATGATGTTTTTAACTGTTTTACATATAGGTACGTTAATTGATGGCTGAAAGTTACGTTTTGCAGGCCATGCCAGCTGTCATCGTCATTCGGGGATCGAGCAGGTTTTTACATCCCTAGGGCCGCAAAATCAGCTGCCCGCTTTAAATACACAATCTGTATCCATAGCATTGCAATAGAGTTGTTTTATTGTCACCGCTGCCCAGCAACTAACTATTTATTAATATTTTTGCTGATTCCTCGAATTCCACATGAACTTAAAGTTGTAGTTGTGTTGACTATATCAGTGTGCAGTGCATTATCATTGAGGTGAATTAGTGGTAATAGGGTATAGTGTGGGGTGGTGAATAATAGCGTTCGTACCACGGACTGAAATGGTTTTGCAGTTCTCGATCGTTTTAAGTCCTCGACCTCGTATCGAACTTAAAAACTACCTCGAACCAGCAAAACCTCATTTTGGCCCTAGGCACGAAATGTACTATTAAGTTTAGGCCTAGTAATATTTTTGAGACTGAATAGTTTACACTTATTTAAAAAGGACCAAACTCATAAGTGGATTAAAGGGCAATTTAGAAAATATCTCAAACTTTTTGACATAACTTCAAGTACTTTCTCCCCTACAATTTAATATGGTAAAAGAATTGTTTATGTAAAACCCTGATCCCAAAAAAGTGGTTTTCGAAGTGATGTGTGTGTCTGTCTGTGTGGGTGTATGTGTGTATGTATGGTACAGAGCTACAGACCACGCCTGTGGTCCGAGTCCGATTTTGATGACATTTGGTATTTTAGGTATCAATCCATGGTCTCTCCAGATGTTTTTTTTTCATTTTGGATTTTTAATAGTGATATTCCATAAAACCCTATAAAATAATGGATGAATAAAATTTTTTCTGAATTGGCCCGAACGATTTTGATTAAAAAATAACATGTTATACTTTTTGACTATGACAAAAATGTTATAAACCCTCTATGCCGTAAAAATTATGGTTCAAAAGTTATTGCAACTTTTGTGATTTTCCCTTTTAAAACCTATTAACTCATGGAAAATCGGATTAAAAAAAACTACATGGCCAATTTTGATTCAAATTGTGTGCATGTTAAAAATCCAACTCATTTAAATTAAAACTAAATTAACAAATAGTTTGCTACTAGAGTTTTAAAGGAAAATCGTCCATTTAAATTGGGTTAAAAGTTTGATTCAAACGCTTAAATTCCCATAAGTTTAAAGAAGTGTCGGGGGCACCCATTCCCTCCCCGCATTATAAACATAACTATGGGTTAGCCCCCAGACCTTCCGGCATGGGTTAAACAACGAATTTGGGGGGGATTCTGCGACGTGAGCTTTGGGGGGGATGGGCACCCCTGGACATGGCAAAGTAAAAAGAAATCCACTTACAGTTGGTTATACTCTGTTACAGATATGGTCTGCTAGGACCGAGTGGCTGTGGTAAGACAACTCTTCTTAGTTGTATTGTCGGCAGACAACGCCTAGATGAAGGGCACATCACTGTCAAAGCCAATAGTAAACGGAACATAGGATACATGCCTCAGGTGAATAGGTTTATTTATATTTCTACTAGCAGCCTTACTCGTGCCTCATACCATAGACAAATAGAATAAATGTAGACCAACAGCAGTGAATTTGTACTCTATTAATTTTATTTTATTACATTTTTAATTTTAGCGCCTATGTTACAAATATTTTAAATGTAATATAGGCTATTCATTGACACTATTCAACGTACCAAGCATGTACAGATGACGAATAAATATATTTTGATTTGATTTGATTTGAGTGCTGCGGTTAGCAAATGTTCCAGTGTCCACCGCTAGGAGTGCCGTGTAGTTACAGCGCACACTGCTGCAGCGTCTGCTGGTAGCATACGGCTCCTCGCCTGCAGCGCCGTGCGCCGTAACTATACGCCACTCCTACTTCCCATAGGCAAATCGCAGAACCTTTCTTTGACAGTCTATATATTTATTCTATTTGTCTATGCTCATACCTATAATTTTAAAATTAAGTCTTTTAAAACTGGTACAAAAACAATTATCACAATAATAATGAGAAGAACGCCTGTCAGTTAGGTGTGGAAGGGATGAGAGAAAGGCCTCCAACAGCACTGAGAGTCACACCACTAGACACGGAGTATTAAATTAATCAACAGGTAGGGAAAATAAACAGTACTTAGTACCTACTTACTATATTCTTTGGTAAATAGAAGCATAAAATTAAAATTTAAGCGTGTTAAAGAGAATTAGGAGTTAGTAGTTTATTTGGTCTACTATTTAAATCACGAGACCTCTTCCCTGGAGGCCAAAGTTAAAATCATGCAAATTACTTATCTTTTGTCAATGTGATAATGGTGAGACTCGTTGGTTCAAATAAAATTCCTATGGTAAATTAAATTTTGATTTTGTTGTTTCAGGAATTAGCTCTATACAAAGAGTTTAGCATTATTGAAACTCTAGTCTATTACGGTTTATTGTTCGGGAAGACCAAAGAAGAAATCAATAAAAGGACAGACGAGCTAATTAAACTCTTAGAACTTCCAGAAAGACACAACACACTGGATACGTTAAGGTAATTGGACCTTAAAAATATTGATTTTAATTGTAAAACTTATAGTAATTGTATTTGCCAAACAGTACGCTGGTATAATGTAAATTTAAAAACAAGAAAAACAGATTTATTGAGGAAAACTTTAAGGGGGTAACATTGAAGGATTTTCTTTCAAATTGATATAATGAAGGTCCTGAAAATATTTTAATCGAACACTAGAGACAATACCCATAAGGTAATACTCATTCTTAACTAATTTTGTTCTGTTTGTAACTTGTTTGGTTACATTAATTAATTAAAAACCACACAAGTAATGCGATAAGCTAAACAAATGTCTGAGATTGGCCTGTACCAACTTTATCACTGTGGTAAAATCAATAGTTGTATTCAAGTTTTGATTAAGATCAATGTAAATCTGAACTGTTTCCAAAAATAATATATAAAAAATAACAAAACTAAAATCAACATACGTAAAATATTTAGTTATTATTAACTGACATTTCATAGTAAGGACTAGAAGGAAGAGTAGATACTACACACTCCCCCTACCTATAGCTCTTCTATGTAAAGTTTACGATAAAAGTACTCCACTGTCTTTAAATCATCAATCCAGGAGGTCTATAGTGTCAGGAACTTGAAATTTAAATAAAATGAGATCACAAGAAGCTACACCCCTTAAAAAAACATATTATTTAGACTAAAATGTTTCCCCTTTCTTTCACATTCCTGACTCATACATTGTATTGTTGCAGCGGAGGTCAACAGAGAAGAGTTTCATTCTGCGTTGCATTACTTCACAACCCTCAACTGCTGATCCTGGACGAACCAACAGTTGGAGTTGACCCTGTCCTCAGCCACAAGTAATCGCTTTACCTCGTCATACAGTACTTGATTTCAGTTTAACATTAATTAAATCAATAAGTTGGAAGTTAAATGCTACACACTGATGTCTAGTCAAGGACTTTACATATATTTAACATTGAACATCTTTGTTTCAGTATATGGCAACATCTAGTGTATATGGCAACAAAAGAACACAAGACGATAGTTATCACGACACACTATATAGAAGAAGCTCGACAAGCACACACGGTATGTTTCTTGTTTCAACACTTAAAAATCCATAGCAATGTATACAAACCCTTTAAGAAGCACAATTAATGCCTTTGTAAAAAAATTCAGTCTGGAAATATTTGAATTTTCGATAGTTCCCGAGGTAGACTATCGTAAGCGTGCAGCCAAGTCAGCTGACTGAGTGAGAGAGAGTGAGACAAAGAATTGGCCTAGAGAGAGATAGAGATAGAGTAGCGCTCTCCCCGGGGCATTGTATTAGAGGAGGATATGATGATATAGTTATGGTAATAAATAGATAACATTGTTGACAAATACATTAAAACTTGTACCTGTTGCTCGAATTCGATCAATGCTAAGTATTACAGGCGTTATTTTAAAACGAATAACAGTCATAATTTCTGATGACTAAAAGATTCGACTCAAAGATTATGGCAATACTCAATATGTACATAAAAGATCGATATAATCAACGTTTCTTGTAAATATCTTATAATTTTTTAAAAGCTGATCTTGTTTTTTAGTGTTTTCTATAAATAGCCTTACTCATAGCACTTGTTTATAATTGATTTTCCTTTATAATAATAGGAGTAAAATGACTACACAGTATGGTTTCTAAAGTCCAAAGTGGAAGTGATGTTTATTTACAACAAATTAATAAACATAGCAAACACATGGCATATAATTAACACATGACAGCTGCTTCTAACTTAGTACCAAGAAGGAACAAGATTATAAATAAATTCCAACACCCCTCCTTAATCTTGATCCTTCATTGGGGTAAGACCAAGGTCGGTCATGAAACCATCATGCTTGATTTTGCCAAGTGATTTTGTCAAAATGTCCGCTACCATCCTGGAAGTTGGAACGTAATTCAGCACAACTAGTTTTCTCTTGATTATGTCTCTGACAAATAACAGTTTTCGAATTATATGTTTGGTCTTGTCATTTACGGTTCTCTTCTGCAAAATCTTCATTGCTGGCATGTTGTCACAATGCAAATTTACATGCTCTAGAAATATTCCCAGCTCTTCCAACAAGTGCTTCAGAAACATTGCTTGCTTGCATGCCTGAACCATTGCTACAAACTCTGACTCTGTTGAGGAATCAGTCATGCATCTCTGTTTCTTACTTCCCCAAGACACAGGTCCTCCACACAGTTTAAAAACATATCCAGTAAAACTTTTCCCATCAAAGCTGTTTCCAAGACTGGCATCAAGAAAACTATGTAGAGGTTCTTCATCAGCTTGCTCCTCCACAGCATGCTTCCACAAATTCTAATTCGGATCTTCTATTGCCACTTGATAACTACTTGGCTCTAGATCCTCACAGGTAACCATGTAGGTAACAAAATCAGGAAACATTTTAGGTTTCTTTACTCTTAGAGGGTACCTACTCCCAACATTAATTTCAACACCTTCCTCATCATTTCCCGAATCCCCTTCAGCGGATCCTCCAGTTCCAACATCGTCATCATCTTGCTCAATGTTGATATTATCAAGAATGAAGCTCTCCTCTTCTGCCTCAGGATTCCTGCAGGATTCATCGAGTTTGGCGGTCTGGATGCTTACTATGGTCTTGACTGGTTGTATAGTTTCATCATCATTATTTTCTTCACGCCCATTATAAAATAAGTTTTCAAAAAACTTGACATCTCTAGAATAAATCAATCTACGGGGAGACTTAGGATCGACCAATTTGTAGCCTTTGACATCCTCACTGTAACCTACAAAAATGTGAGGAACACTCTTATAGTCCAATTTGGTCCTTCTCTCCTTAGGCACATGAACATAGCCTATGCACCCGAAAACTCTAAGGTGACTGAGGTCCACTTTCGATCCAGTCCATTTCTCCTGTGGCGTGACTCCAAAAACAGCTTTTGTAGGACTTCGATTCTTAAGATAAATAGCTGCCTCCTCAGCATACTGCCAGTAACCCTTGCTCAAATTTGAGTCACTTAGCATGCTTCTAGCCTTTTCAATAATAGTTCTATTTGCACGCTCTGCTACCCCATTCTGCTCAGGACTATATCGAGTAGTGACCTGGTGCCTTATTCCAAATCTATTACACACTTCTTCTAGTCTCGCATTCATGTAATCCCCGCCTTCATCTGACCTAACAGTTTTTATAGTCTGGTTGGTCTGATTTTCAACTAAAGTCTTAAACTTGAGAAAACAATCAACTACTTCATCCTTTGATTTCAAGAAATAACCAAAGGTCATTCTGGTGAAGTCATCAACAAATATTAGCATGAAGCGATTACCTTGAAGAGACTGAACATTCATAGGCCCACAGACATCCGTATGGATTAACTCTAGTTTTGCCTCAGCTCTCTTACTTGGAGTGGTTGGAAAAGATTCTCTGGAGTGTTTCCCCTCCACACAGGGAATGCATGGCTCTGGCCTCTGACTAGGAAAATCAACACCCAAAGCCATCCCCTTTTTCAAAATACCCATGCTAACATGATTCAAGTGACCCAACCTTCTGTGCCATAAATTATGAAGGTCCACACTAACTGACTGGTCAACTTGAGTAGACATAGCCAAATTGTCATAATTTGGATCAATGTTGCATTTACTCTCTGTATCCAACCGATACAGTCCGTTTACATTTGTTCCAGTTCCACAAATTTCACCTCTTACTGAAAACCCATCTTTTATGTAAATATTACACCCTTTGTCATCAAAAACTAAAACTTGCCCTTTACTAGCTATTTTGCTCACAGACAGCAAATTTGTAGATAAATCTGGTACATACGTCACATTCGATATCACTCTCTCACCAAAGTTTTTAAGGTTCACAGAAACTTTCCCAGAACCCGCAGAGTAAATTTTGGTATTATTAGCGACAGTAACCTCTTTAACTCCCTCATTCGAGTTAAACGTTTGAAAACTTTCTTTACTTTTAGAAAGATTGTCAGAACAACACGAGTCTAAGTACCAGCTTTCAGGTTCTACCTTTACAGTCAGAGCAGTTATCCAACTTACATTTTTATTTTTGTTTTGACCATCTGACTTACCAATTTTGGAAATTGACCCTATCTTTGAGCTATTACTAATATTAGCTTGGTTATTTTCAGGACAATCCCTTATCATATGGCCTGCCTTTTTATCAATTATCAATTATCAATTATTTAAGATGGGGACGCCACTATGTGCGTATTTTAACCCAAATATGAGTGAAGGATGAGTGTAGGATGAGTGGCGCGATCTTGTAGTCTTGTTAGTGACTAAGGCCGACATGTTCCTTAGACACAGCTGTTAATTAATAGCCCATACAGCTAATGGCAACTAAGGGACCTACAGTTTATAGTGGAATCCGAACCACATTTTTCCTTGTAATTTACGAATTGGTCTAATTATCAGGATAGTACTGCGGATAGTCGTAGTACTCACTAATGCGGACGTTAATCCACACCAGTGAGCATCGCATCCACAGTGCATCCCTATAAATATCCACAATTCGTATTCCACTTTCTACATTTGTAACAAGTAGGAATAAAAGGCTTCCTCGTCTTTGAGCTTTTATTAGAAATAGCTTGATTAGTATTTGATTTTGATAAAAAAGGCTTCCCAGTACTGCTTTTAAAAGTTGAAAATACTACAAAGGACTCAGTGGTATCCTTTTCAGCCATGCTATTTAATTTTTCTAGTACTTTACTATATTCTACTTTATCTGTATCAATTATCAATTATTTAAGATGGGGACGCCACTATGTGCGTATTTTAACCCAAATATGAGTGAAGGATGAGTGTAGGATGAGTGGCGCGATCTTGTAGTCTTGTTAGTGACTAAGGCCGACATGTTCCTTAGACACAGCTGTTAATTAATAGCCCATACAGCTAATGGCAACTCTCGACTGTACTCTCGACTGCCATCCTAAATGCCCTGTAAGACTCAGGCAAACCTCTTAGAAGTAGACACGCCTTCATTTCATCATCCACGGGTTTCTCTATGTCAGCAAGTTGAGCATTGAGGTCAAGAAATTTAGAAATATACTCACTCATGCTGCTGCATACTTCCAACTTCAAATCTAAAAGCTGGTCCAGCAGGAATATTCTCCTGTTTGTGCTCTTGACTTCATACTGCTTTGCTAAAATGTCCCAAGCTTCCTTTGCTGATGTGGCAGTCCTGATATGTAGTTTTGGAGCTGCCTCCAGGTGCATGGCAATCTTGGCGAGTGCCCTCTCATCTTTGTCTGGATCCACAGTTAGCGGTGTCGTCTCTGTAGTAGTCCTTCGTGGTTCAATGCAATTCCACAATCCCTCATACTTTAGAGCCATCTTCATGTCAAATTTCCAACTGGCATAGTTGGCTGACCCTTTCAACTTAGAAATTCCAGGGGCTGATGTGGAGTATATAACTTTGTCTCCCATCATCTATCTATATATTAATAGGCAAGCATGTTTCTTTAAAACCTTTTTTCTCAGCTCGTGTGCATCGTAGGGAAAATCTAAGCATACTGTTAGAAAGCTATTTTCCTGTAGGTGTGCAGAATCCCTTTATAAATTAAAATAGGCTCAAAAATAAGCACAAAAAATGAATTTAAAATTTTGAAAAATTTAACATGGATATTATGAGTTGCCATGCTGGTGACGAAATAACAACGAAATATAAACAGAAAATCAAAACAAATGGAAGAAACCCCAATCACATGTTCTATTCAAAGTGTGGAATGAAAATAAAGAAGTCTGTACATTAAATATTTTTGGTCGAGTTTCGACCACTGGACGACCTCTAGTAGTAATTAATAAGTGTTCATCCAATGAAATTTACTATAATATTTCTTAAACACTTCTCTTCAAAAATTTAACTGTTCAAAATAGGCCACAGAGAACATGTTACAGTAAAAGTGAAACTGGGCCCATAACCACTTGTTTATAATTGATTTTCCTTTATAATAATAGGAGTAAAATGACTACACAGTATGGTTTCTAAAGTCCATAGTGGAAGTGATGTTTATTTACAACAAATTAATAAACATAGCAAACACATGGCATATAATTAACACATGACAGCTG